CCACTCTATAATAACTTTAATCTTTTGGGGATCCACTCGAACTCCTTCTGCAGAAATTACCTGTCCAAGGAATGTCACTTCATTCAACCAAAATTCACACTTAGAAAATTTAGCATAAAGCTTATTGTCTAGTAAAATCTGTAAAATAATCTATAAGTGTGAACTATGCTCTTCTTCTGACTTTGAATATATTAAATATCATCAATAAACACCACAGCAAACTGATCCAAATAAGGTTGGAATATCCTATTCATTAGATCCATAAAAGCAGCTGGTACATTCGTAACTCCAAACGACATCACGATAAACTCATAATGACCATATCTTGTTCTAAACGCCGTTTTTGAAATGTCTTTCTCTTGAATCTTTAATTGATGATAACCCAAACGTAGATCAACTTTTGAGAACACTGAAGCTTCCTTTAATTGATCAAATAAATCGTCAATTCGGGGAAGTGGATACTTGTTCTTGATGGTCACTTTATTGAGCTGTCTGTAATCGATACAAAGACGCATTGATCCATCTTTCTTTTTAACAAATAGAACATGAGCTCCCCAAGGTGATACACTTGGTCTAATAAACCCTTTGTCTAGTAACTCCTGTAATTGAATCTTTAATTCTTGCAACTCTTTTGGAGCCATCATGTATGGTGCCATTGCAATGGGCGCTGTTCCCGGTATTATCTCAATCTGGAATTCTACCTCTCTGTCCGGAGGTAAACCTGACAACTCTGCATGAAATACATCGGGAGATTCTCTGACTATAGGAATTCATTCAATCCCTTTTTTCTTGGTTCTAACATCCAGCACATTAGCAATGAACCCTTGACATCCTTGTAGGAATAACTTCTTCGCCGACATTACTGAAATTACATTTGCCAATGGATTCCATCATTCACTAAATACCATCACATCTACCCCTTCTGGACTTCTCAGCGTTACTCTTTTCAATCTAGAATCGACATTAGCGCAATAACGATTTAACCAATCCATTCTCAGTATCACTTTAAATTCGTCGAAAGGTAATTTCATCAGATTAACAGGAAATTCAATTCCCTGAATTTGTATGGGACACCCTCGGCTTACCAAATTTATCAGGGCACTGTGCCCTAATGGGTTCGTCACTATCACCTCTTTGCTAGTAGTTTCTAACGGAATGTTCAATTCTTTCATTAACTTACTAGTAATGTATGAATATGTAGACCCCGTATCAATCAATACAATTACACATTTTTCAAACAATAGAAAGGTACCTGTTATAATATATGGGTCATCACAACCCTCATTGGTCTTGAGGTTGTACACTCGAGCAGTGGAGTGTATCTCCTGTTGAGCAGAGGATTCTGATTGGCTTCTTCCTCTGCCTCTACCTCTTCCTCTCTGACCTGTAGAAATAGATCTCTCTGGCTGTGTAGATTCACTGGTTAACATTGGACAATCCCGAACAAAATACCCATCGTCCCCACATCTAAAGCAGACTCCAGAAATCATCCGACATATCCCTGAATGATTCTTTCCACAATATGGGCATTGTCTGGCTTGACTCTGATTATATCTCCCAGCTCCAGATCCCACTGACTGAGTTTGTCTACCTCTCATCTGATTTGATCCTCTAGCGGAGGATGCTACTGACTTTGATCTAACTTAGGGTCGAAAACCAGCATCTCTGCCCCTCTTTGATGGTGCAGAACTCGAAAAAGCACCCGATCTTTTGACTGTATGAGCTCTCAAATTTTCAAACCTCTCGTTCAGAGCTCTTTCCAGAGCCTTGGCACGGTTGACTACCTCTTGAAACGAGGATAAATTCAAGACAATTAACATTTCCTTCAACCGAGGACGTAACCCCTCTACAAACCACTCACAAGTATCATTCTCCGTAGGAATTAACTCGACAGCAAAGCGGCTCAACTTATTGAATTCACACTCGTACTCATATACAGTGTGATTCCATTGCTTCAGATTCATGAACTCTTGCTTCATTTGACACACAAATTGATCTCCAATGTACTTATGCTTGAATTCTTCTAAAAACAATAACCAAGTTACTTGGGCGTTAGACATCCTCAATGTAACATTGGTCCACCAGATCCTGCTTGTCCTCTCAACAAGGAAATTACTCCATCCAGCTTCTCAGCATCGGAACAATGAAGTCCCGAAGCATGACCTTCACGTCATTAAGCCAAAGGTCCGCAGTAACAGACCTTTATCGGCTTCCCCTCTAAACTCTAGAGCTCCTAATCCTTCAACTCTTTCGCAACATTCATTTTTGTAGTTGAAGTAACAGGAGGTTGGAAACGCGTTAATATCGCGTCTAACGTTCTAAAGAACATCTTGATCATTTACAAGCATTCCACAGGATGTCTGTTCTTCACTCTGCCTGGCCAGGGCAGGTGAATTACTACTTTCAGCGGGTCTATAATCTCCCGCTCATTCCTAGAACTACCTCGTCCGATATCTATAAAAAATACAACCATATATTCTATTAGCAAAACAACATACTTACTATTCCATCAGATCAGAAGTTTCCACTATTTTGTTGGTATGCAAAATACTTTAATTTACATAAAAGAGACCACTTAATACAAAATCGATCAGAGCATTCGTAATTAACCATATATTACATACCAACACTTTATACACAACAAAATACCTACTTTGTCAATTACTTATGATCTGATTTCTTAGTAATGCTGTCCGTGCCACTGCTATTCTGAATCTTCTTATTTCTTTGGTACCTACGTGTAAATCACTTACACGCTAAGTCATAGACTTAGTGAGGTAATAAATGAATATGCAACAATATCTTCATGAATATGCATTCTTACCATTTCCTTCATGACATTTCAATATGCATGCATCTATTACACAATAACATATATAATCATATCATGCATGTACAAAACTTACCTTCTTGTACTACTTTCACTTTACTTTGTATTTCAATTGCCCATGTATATTATTAAGAATAGATGTATGTGAGTGCATTGAGGTTGTGCACTAATGCTGTCACCACAGCTCGTATCAATTCCCTCATGAGGCACCGAACCTTAGTTCAGTATTCGTCCCGAAGGACTTTCATATATGTCCCATAGGGCCACTACATCCCGAAGGACTATTACCCTCGACTCTTGGCATGTCAATTACACCTATAGCTCTCATATCGTACTATGGGCATTATTCTTTTATATGTTCATGTACTCATGTCGTTCTCTTGTGATCATGTAGTTCATGTCATTTCTCTTGTGATCATGTAGCTCATGTCATGTTCTCATATCACATATCATATCATATGTGTATTTGAATCTATTCATATATATACATCATTTATACAATCACATGAACATATATATGCCTTATGCATGTATTACAATAATTATCACGTATGCATGTTCACAACTATTGTACTATAAAAATCAATATAGGAATTAGACTTATCACAAGTCTTATTCCATTATACTATACATATATGCACTCACCTTAGCTTTGCTTTGATTCGATTCTAATCCTTTGATCGTTCCGGAATAAGCTTACTTTTAGTATCTACATAATCACACATGGATCTATATCAGTATTATAGCTAATATACTCTAATGGTTCACTCTTTAGATTAAGATAAATGTCAATTTCCTCTTTTAATGAAGGTATGCATCGATGCACTACTTGTGCATCGGTGCATAAAATGCATTCGATGTTTTATTATTAATGGGATGCATCGATGCATGCCTTATGCATCAATGCACTAATTGCATTCGATGTTTTTATTTTAAAAGAGTGCATCGATGCACTACCTGTGCATCGATACACCTTCAAACAATTTCTGGGTTTTAACCTTGATGAATCGATGCACTATGAATATGCATCGATGCACTCTTCCCAGAATCCTCTTTTTGAACCCGAAAATTCATTCATTTTGGATTAAATCCTTCATGTTTAATCCCCTTTTTCATTCTTAACTCTCGTACACATCCTTAAACCAATTTAATTATTTCATCTTGACCCTCCAAATTCTATCCTTCATATGTAATTTAAGAATTACATCAATAATTCAACATGTTTGAATTCCACTTTTAACACTTTGTATATCTTAACTAGATTGATGATAAGTCAAATTTAACTTTCAATTCTAGTTATGAACTCTATTCCAAGATTTCATTTAAGAACTTCAAATCTTAAATCTCTCCTAACTCCATCATCATTTGATGTTAAGATAACTTAAGCTTAGTTATCATATAATAATCAAAACCCAATATTAAATTTAACAAGAAACTCAATAATCAGAAATCTTACCTTTGCTTTGGTTCACACGCACAAGGAAGAAAGAAGAAGAAGAGAACTGGAAGTCTTGGGGTTTTCTCCCCTTCCACCCACGTGTATCCTTATATACATACTTATCTCTTCTTTAATTATTTTTCCTTGCAATTACTCTATTGTCCTCTCATTCATTCTTCCTTTCAATTCCATCGTACACAATAATTTACATATAAATATTTATACTATCATTCATTTTATTTTAACCACCAAATTCTGAGATTTTACAATTTAGTCACTAACCCGGTATTGAGGATGTTAAAAAATTAATGAATTTGTTAAAAAATCCTTAGTGAAGAGCTAAGATAGTGGATGTAAACTTGGTTAATAAGTCAAACGACTTAAAATCCTTGTGCAAATTTTTTCTATCTTTGTGTTCTCCTTACTCCCTAATCAAATTATTATCAATTAACCCCCTTTGCACATTTTCGATTATTCAAATTGAGCCTCTTCAAATCCAACAATTTCAATTCAAATTAAATATTATAAAAATCTATTATAAATACAATCTTTCTAATCTAATTAATTTTATTTTATTATTAAAATTTGAATTTATAATTTTATTTAACATTTTGTATCACTAAATCAACTAATTACTAATGACCAGATCATTCTTTAACGGGCATTAAAAAACTTCTAGAAAAATTGTGGAATAAAACAAACACTCCACAGAGGAATATCGAGAGATAACTTTTTTTTTCGTTTGTTTTCTCTGGAGAGCTGCAGAAATGACATGTTTACAATTCCAGGGATTGGGATTCCATTACCCCACAGCGCCACAGGTAATGAACTCGTAACACTGGTAGGTATTTTCCCTGTTTCTACAGGTAACTTTCTTACACTTGACAGGTGCTACCTATTTCATAAATAGTAGACACAAATTATAAGTGGCGCCCTTCCACTCCTCTGCTCTTTTTATGCAGCGGCTTAAATGGAAGAATCCCACTTATGTTATATATATTAGGATGGGGAAGTGCCGATCCCCCACTTCGAATGAGCCAACACCCTCCCCACTCCTATCTCTTTTGCACATAACAAAGGAAACCTTCCGGCTGCCACGAAACAGCTAATCAAATAACGCTTATTACATCAAAACACTGCTCACCCCACTCATCATCCTATATAGCTTGGTTTCTGTTTTTTTGCCTTCCGATATACATACATTTAAGGCGTCGCAGACGAGTCATCAGCTGTCCGAATGATGGTCGTAAATGTGGCTCCCTGCATTTCATAAAAAATACTTTTGAGTAAGAAAAATCCAACGGTAAAAGCCATCTTACACTGGTTTATTGTCAATGATGTCTAAAACTCACATTTGCCAACATTCGTGTATAATCTGTGCAACATTCGGATCAACATGTTCGGGAATTTCTAGATGTCTATTCTGGAATCCAACAGCTCCAACAACTTGCATAGGGTTCAAACCTTTCCAGGGAATCTGTAAAGTAACCAACTCCCATAATATCACACCAAAACTGTACACGTCACATCTGCAACCAACCCAGCTGATTTGTGTAAGGAACAGAAGAGAAATGTCAAAGATATTCTGGAATCCAACAGCTCCAACAACTTGCATAGGGTTCAAACCTTTCCAGGGAATCTGTAAAGTAACCAACTCCCATAATATCACACCAAAACTGTACACGTCACATCTGCAACCAACCCAGCTGATTTGTGTAAGGAACAGAAGAGAAATGTCAAAGACATGCAAGCTATCGTGGTGTTAAAGGCACTTACTTCTCATTGGCTGGTTCATTCCGTAAAACTTCAGGTGCCATCCATTCAGGCTGCAGTCCATCAGTAAACTTGTAGTTTAGTAAAAGAAGAAAGATTTTTGGATAAATAGGAAAGGAAGAGAAAACACAAACTGAATGACAGGAATTATCGTTTCTTAATACTACCGTTCCAGCAGAAGACTTTGAAGACAGGAAAGTATGATGCTTCGAGCGTGACAACCCAAAATCACAGACCTGAGTATCGAAGCAAACATGTTTGGAAAATGCAATTGATATCCTTCAGCAGAAAATAAAGCAACCTGTAGAGTTGCTTAAATAAAGCAACATAGGAGTACATTTGGCCAGAAAATAGATTTGAGATGAGCACCTTTACAACCCAGTTCTTATCCACAAGGGAGATTTGGTGTTTTTAAATCTCGGTGCACTATAGTAGGATGGCTTGTGTGCAAATAATTCATTCCTTTAGCCTGTAAACCATAAGAAAGTTCCGCTAGATAGAAATTACAAACAGCAAAAGAAGAGAGAAAGGGGTTGCAGAAGAGGTACTTGAATAAAAGATATCAAACAAAAGAAAATAAATAATTATTCACTTGTGACTACCACATCAAGAGCCATCTTCATTCGTCTCCTCTCATCAAGTGGAGGATTGGATCGATGCAGTAGTTATACAAATTCCCCTGCAGTGAGGAGCACAGAGAATGTTAGACAGGGTGGCCAACCTTGTCCTTTGAAATTAATAAATCTCGTCAGAAACCACAACAATAGAGAGGTCTAGCATTTTGAAACACACATCCAGTGGACTCTTTGTATAGAACTAATTGGCTTGTATAAAGAAAATCAACCTGGGTAGATACTCCGTCAGTATGGAGAAATGTGGGGGGCAAGTAACTGCACCCATGAAAAGAACAACATTCGGATGCCTCAACCTTAACATGATTTCAACCTGTAAGGGTCATCAAACAGAGATGATTTCAACGTAAATTCATTCAATTCTACAGGAAGGTTGAGCTCAAAAGCATGAGTATATACACATGTGTAATGCTATGGAAGATATTTTCTGGGACTCACTTCACATTTAAATTGAACCAGTGCATCACCAGAGAAATCTTGATCTAAAAACTTCTTCACAGCAACCTCCTGAAGAGCAAACGGAATCAAATAGACAAACACTCAAATGAAAATGTCATTAGAAGACGTTAAAGAGACTTCTTGAACAAGCATATACTGTTATCAATCAATAGAAGAGTAATTTAAAAGAAACTAATGCTGATCTCGGGGTAGAATGTTGCAGCAGTTAGATCATTGAGATATTCATAAGTTTGCACCACAGTAGGACTATTATCAATCACATGACCATCATTTGAAAGATAAATGCTTTTGGAAATTTTGGCATGTAGCAAATTGTGGTCATCATATCATCTAGCATAGTGTATACTAAAATTTCCATGAAAATATAGTAGCAAAAGTAACTCACAGTGCCATTCCACTCAGCTTTGTAGACCTCGCCATATGATCCTACAAGACAAGACTTCATATATTAAGAAAGACTGGTAGGGAATACTCACGTCTTCAAGCAAGTCACATTCTATGACTCTGTAGGTCCAATTAAATATGAATATAAAACGGACTCAATCAAGTGTAGTAGGCTTGCACAATCCTGATCATATAAAATGTGAACCATACTGGATTGACCTGTAGGACTGTGCTAAGTGCCAGAGGTTAGGCTGAGAGTAGGATGCACTGACAAATAACTCACATCTTTGACAGATTATTCAGCTTTTCATACTGTATGTCTATGTCAATCCAATAAAAACAGGAACATAAGGAGTAAGGACATCCTAGCTAGCATTTGTGTAATTGTGTTGCAAGCTGTATCACACTAATAATTGATATACGAGATCCAAAACTCGAAAGAACAATGGAGAGTAGTGTCTGACATGTATAAAAATGAACAAGATTAATTGGGTTATTAGGAAGCCTTACCAATACCAATTCGTTCACCAATTTGAAGATCCTCCCAGGGAATTTCCCATTCAGAAACCTCCCTTTGCATAGGATAAATCTTCTCACTGTGATCATTGCCAACCCTATGCAAGTCACTGCCTGCAATTTCTATCATTTCTAGTGCAGATTCTTTACTGAAATCTATATCAGAAGTCCTTCGTATTAGTTTCTCATCCGTGGCCAAGATGTTTTCCGGTTGTATTTGGCAAAACTCATCCGCAGAGCAGGACTCACGAACTTGTATCCAATCATCAGTTGTATAACCAAGGAGTGGTCCTTCTTTAGAAACATTACAGGAAGATGCAACATTAGTTTTTATGGCATTAGTATTTTCTGAAGTCTCCATCCCAGATGATACAAGACATTGATCGTTAATTGACAACTCATTTGAATGGTAGCTAGCAGTTACATCTACATTTGTCCCTTTCAGTACTTGATCAGACATTCGTTTTTCACCGAGGTCCTGTGAATTGATATCCACGAACAAATCTGGAGGAGGTGATGCACCACTTTCCAACAGAACAGCATGTAATTTCTGAGCAAATTCTGGGTCCTTTGCTGCACTAATAACATACTTGGACACATTTAACCTTTCTCTTTTGAGCTGCTGATGGTTTTTTCATTAATTTCCAGAAATGCTTTCACCAGATTTAGGTGGCGAGGGAAGAAGCTTCCCTAAGTCCAGTTTCAGATCTCTCAGAGACAGCTCTTCCAGCAAAGTTCCTCTCATCTTCGTTTGTTTGAATGCTAACAAAATCCACTGACCTAACGGAACCAGCTTAGAGCCTATATATAGAGTGGCTGAAGATGCAATACTTTCAATTCCTTTGTCAAGCAGCAAGCATGAACTTGGGAGGCTTCAGTAAGATCAGTAAAGCCCCTTACACCTAGTGCGAATTGAGGATGAGAACTTGGTACTTCAGCAGGAATTAGGGTCCCAGGAGCACCCATCAGATCAATAATACTCACTGCATTTTTTTCATATATTATTTGCATCAGCTATGTGCCAATACAAATTAAACTTTTTATTTGACTCGACAGTAAACTACATAAAGCAGAACAGGCACTGAAAAACACAGACTGGTATGCACCATGTTGAGGACAAAAAAAAAGTCGAATGTACAAATAGTAGAAATGCTAAGCAGCTACCAAAATCAAAGAGCAGAATTTGCAGATCAGAGCAGGAGAAATACTTCCATCGTTGATTCTAACCAAGTTCACAGCTCCATCATCTGTACCAGTGTAATAGCTCCCTTTGACCAGCATGCAGGGGAGATTAATTCTATCAGCTAGAACCTAGAAAGAAGAAAAAACAAATCCTTATAAAGTCTCAACACCTTTATCCTTAATCAAATGAAAAATTAGACAAAGCGAGAAGATACTATGACAGGCAAGAACAAGTGAAATGAAAATGAAAGAGGGGGTGATGCAGACATGAGTGAAGTTAAAAGGAAAACATGCTTCTTTCATGAACTAGTTTAACTTATAAAAATATGAAGAGTAAAGGATTTTTACAACCTTAAAAAGCAGGGCCCTGTGGCGGGAAAGTCCAACGTCAAGCCGTCCAAGTGGAAGAATGACAGTTTTAAGAGAACTTCGTAACTCATAACTTCTTGATGTCCACATGTTCATCATCTCTTCCGCATCAGCAACAGGACCACCCATTCTATTAACAACCATTTCTGCAATTTTCTGAATCATGCCACTTACAATCGGGCCATGGCCAAAAGCTCGTGACTGCACATACATGTTATACACTCTTTTCTCGAGCTCTTGCAGTTCAGGATCAAGCAACCGGTTAACCAAAATTACTTGATAATCGACATTATCTAACACTGAAACTGCTCGAAGATCAACCAAAGAAGGCATTTTCCCTTGTGCACCCAGAGTTGAGGCAATGCCATACACATCATAAAATCCATCCACAATTTTTTCATTATAGTTTACAACATTATAATTCTGCAAATAACATGAAATAGAAATTAGATTTTTTTTTTCCTTAATAAAAGGTGTGAGTCCGGGGGGGGGGGGAGAATATATATAAACTAACGAGTTCTAAAACTTTTCTTACAAAAGGAAACATAAAAAAGCCAGTACAGCATTGATAAACCAAAAGAAGAAAATCGATAAATTTCAGAATTAGTTCAATATAGAAAATACATAATGAAAACTAACATCAATTAGTATTCATGTCCATAATGGCATTTACCAAATTACCATACAATATCCCAGCATAATAATTGAAACAATAACAGCTAGATGCATAATAGCACGAAAGGAAACACTATAGTTCCC